TTTTGAGGTTTGTCTCGACGTATGATTGTTCGGAAAGGCCATTAGAACGTTTGGCGCATTAAATCACGGTTACGGAGCTCAAATGTTGTTGAGCACTAAACACGATATTATGGCTCGTAGATGTAAGCTCGATAAAAAGATATCTCGAAATCAACAGCGAAGACTGATGCACGAATGGACTGAACCGTCCGGGTAGCTACCAGGACCAAACAGAAGACCAGCGTCAAGTGGAAGTGTTATTTTTCTGCGTTTCGTTGCCGGTGAGGTAGCTGGCGTCCACTTTATTAAAAGTTGGCAAAACATCTGCAATCCTTTTTTTTCCGTGGGAAAAATTCTTTATGGATCCTCTGTCTCTTGTACGGGGGAGTGGCAGGGGTATGTGGGAGTCCCAATAAGAACGGGTACCCACTTAAACCCCACGTTGCCCCTGTCTCGGCCGGGGACACGAGAACACGTGGACGCAATCCCGCGACCCCGGCGCGACTATGGCTTTTTTGGGCCTCCTCTACTACATAGTGCTGTGCTGGTGCAAATGGTACGAACACGTCACGAGCCCCTTATTGAGTGACAGATACCTCCACTCATGCCGCTCAGGGTCTCATTATCAGGGGAAGGTTGCGCGCGTAGGCCAGTCTCCTGCTCCCTGGTCTCCAGCCGCGGATATCCAGGGTGGTAGTTGCCTCCCTTTCTCTTTCTGCGGCCTCCTTCCAGGTGATAATGTCCTCGCAGTATGCGAGGCATCCCACGTCCTCTCGCTGTCAGCCATAGCGCGAACCACGGCTAGCAGCGAGAAATCTGCAACCGGTTGTTGCAAATGTCCATGGGCAGCGGTTATCACTTAACATTGAACCGCCAACGCGTTTGCCATCTTCTCGCATAAAAAAAATTAAAATAAGCTCGGGAGAATTCGAAGTTTACATATTCATTTCGCGCTCCCACACGCTTCGTCACTCCATGCGCGAAATGATTCAGGATTTACAGCGCGCCGCGGAGTGTACGCTAGTGGTGACCGCAGTGTTTCGTCATATTAAATGTCGCGGAAAACGGAGATGGAAATGAAAATGTAACGGCCCTCGTGACATTCAAAATTTTTCACATGGAAATATATAGGGTCGGAAGTGAAACAGAGGAGTGTTAACTTTGCAAACAAATCTCACAAATCACCACTGTTTACATATTATTATACATCACTACAAAGTATAAAACAAAGTCGTCCCGCTAAGCTAAGAAAGAATATTGGAGATGAAATGCAAACCGCTCCAGATTTTGATTATTTTAGCAGCCAGTCGTACTTTGGCAGGGCAGAAAGCAGTCTGTCCATCTGTCCATCAGCCAGTCACTCGGTAAAATAAGCATTAGTTGGAAGCAGAAATTGTTACTGGCAAATTCCTATAAATCGAAAAAAGCGAGGCAGGTCCTCGCTCACTTTTTAATCTGTTGAAAAATGCGAAATAGGGCAGTGAGCCGTGACGGAAAAAAGAGCAAGTCGCGTCCATCGCTACGATCACATTGACACCTGCAATCGTGTCATATCGCCGGCTTCACTTAAAACGTGATCTTTGTACGACTTTTTGAAACCTTGCCTATATAACCCCGGTATTTATTACTACGTTTTAATCAATACAGTTTCTTGTTGTTTTTCTTTCTGTAAGAATATTTGTAATAGAGTTTAAAGTAATTTCAATGACTCAAAATAGTCTCTTGCTAGTCAATTTCCTCGAAAGATACTCTGATATGTATTCTGTTGATATGTAAGATGTTTAGTTCAGTCGGCATAATCTTTTACAATAACAACCGCCTATATCACAAACAGAGTATACAGGAGTGTTGTCAATGTCAAATAACTTATTAAGTTCGAAAGTTGGCGGCGGCGAGGCTGCATTTTTTATGATAAGAGGGTGACAACCTAGTAAGCGGTTCATCTGACAGTAAGAATATGTCCATGGATATTCACAAAAGCAGAGATTTTGCAGGTGCGTTGGTTTTGCCAAGTACTAATTTAGGTAACACAAAAGTATCAATTATTTTACTTCAAGTCGGTCTCTTTTGTCTGTATGTTTATTTTTGACACTAACTTTTTTAATGTCAAATGAATTTTAAGGATAATCATAACCAATAGAGGGAGTTAAATTTATTTTAAGCAAGCTGCTACCCACCACTTAGGCAGTGTGAGATTTAACAAGTAAATTTTATTCAGCTCTCGGAATTCACAAAAAGTTATTTATGTACACACATGCTTAAAATGCGTATACAGGATTTACATTTCGTGACCATAGACTTTAATAAATCGTTATGTATCGATCGCGTTTATAACATGACAGATGATAAACGAGTATGCATAGATAAGACATACATACTGAAATATATACTGCATATACTAGTTACATATAATAGATACATATATACTGCGAGTATGTGAGTATTATTTGGTTACGGGCCGTAAATTTTCTTCAATAATCTAACTTCAAAAGGGCAATCGCATCAGCAAGGTCGGAGCACATCAGCAAAATTGGCGAGAGATTAGTTAACCTTCCTTCGGGGACTCGTGCATTCTGGTCTCTCGCCAAGGCTGTTCAAGGAAAGTTCTGTACGCCATCTTTTCCATCTTTGCACAGGGGAGATGATTCGTTGGCCCACACCGCTGAAGAGAAAGCCGAACTTTTGGGCACCCTCTTCGCCTCTAACTCGACACTGGATGATAAGGGGAACACACCGCCGACCATCCCGCGGTGTGAGCATACAATGCCAGAAATAAGGTTTCTGCAGAGCACAGTACGTAAAGCACTCTTCTCCTTAGACATCCATAAGTCGAGCGGGCCAGACGGAATCCCTCCCATTGTGTTAAGGACGTGTGCTCCAGAGTTGGCACCGGTTTTAACGCGCCTTTTCCGACACTCATACTCCCTAGGCATTGTCCCAACCTCTTGGAAGACCGCTTTAGTGCACCCGATTCCTAAAAAAGGTGATCGTTCAGATCCGTCGAACTATAGGCCTATTGCCCTCACCTCTTTGTTCTCTAAAATCATGGAGTCCATCATAAACTGCCAGCTCCTTAGGTACCTTGAGGAGCACCAGCTCATTAGCGATCGTCAATATGGCTTTAGATGCGGGCGCTCAGCTGGTGACCTTTTAGTGTACCTAACGCATCGATGGACAGAGGCAGTTGAGACAAAGGGTGAGGCCTTGGCGGTTAGTATGGATGTAGCGAAAGCCTTCGATCGGGTTTGGCACAAAGCACTTCTTTCAAAGATTACATCTTACGGGCTTCCTGAGAAATTGTGCAACTGGATCACTAGTTTTCTCACTCGTCGGAGCATCAAGGTCGTTATTGACGGTGCTTGCTCCGACGCTAAATTCGTGAACTCTGGTGTTACACAAGGCTGCGTCCTGTCCCCTACGTTGTTCCTCCTACATATCAATGATCTGTTGCATATTTGCAACATTCATTGCTATGCGGATGACACTACGGGTGACGCATTATATACCGGCCGGGCAAATATTTCTCAGGAGTACGTCGAAGAGTGCCGGAATAAACTTGTGTCTGAAGTCGAGGTTATGTTATGCAAAATCTCGGATTGGGGCAGACTTAATTTGGTCCAATTTAACCCCATGAAGACACAGGTTTGCGCGTTTACCGCGAAGAGAAAACCCTACGTCGTATCTCCCTTTTTTGAAGGCACTCCCCTTGTTGCCACCGATTCGATCGGAATTCTTGGGGTCGATATATCGAGCAGCGTTCAATTTCGCGGTCACTTGGAAGGAAAAGCCAAGCTGGCTTCTAAAAAACTCGGTGTCCTAAACCGAGCGAGACAGTATTTCCTGCCGATACATCGGTTGCAGCTTTATAAAGCACAGATTCGGCCTCACATGGAATACTGTTCTCGCCTCTGGGCTGGGGCACCGAAATACCAGCTCCTTCTATTTGACCGCATTCAACGAAGAGCTGCTCGAATCGTCGACGACCAAATCCTGTCCGATCGCCTCGATTCTTTGGCCTTGCGTAGGGATGTTGCATCCCTATGCATTTTCTATCGGATATATCATGGGGAGTGCTCTGAGGAATTGTTTGGGTTGATACCTGCTGGTGTATTTCACCATCGTACAACTCGTCAAACCGCCAAGTACCATCGACACCACCTTGATGGTTGGCGCTCCACCACAGTGCGTTTTTCACGAAACTTTCTACCCCGCACAACTACTTTGTGGAACGAGTTGTCGCCAGCGGTATTTCCAGACCGATACGACTTAGGGACCTTCAAGAAGAGAGCCTATTCCTTCCTTAAAGGCCGGCAACGCAATTGCGACTCAACCGATGTTGCAAATGTCCATGGGCTGCGGTGATCGCTTATCATCAGGTGACCCACATGCTCGTTTGCCTCCTATTCCCATAAAAAAAAAAAAAATATTTGAAGTCACACAGAGTCGAATCTTCTTCATAATTATACGAGTTTTAACTTTGGTTTTGGTAAAGTACCTGAAAATCGATCGAACCGTTCCGGAAATTGGTTAGAACAAACAGACAGACAGATCGACGGACAGTAGAAACATTTTGTAATTTGTCTTGGTATAAATACACGTTATTTATAACAATACTTTCGTATACTTTAGACTTTCATATATCTTTATTTTATTAATTTTATTTATTCGTATAGATAATCTAAAACTTCATCGTCCTATTCTTTTGCCACCTAGGTGGGGTCGGACAACATGTCAATCACGTTGTGAATGGGTTCGGTTAGGAGTTTTACGATCGACCTGACGTTAACTCTCTTTGGGAACACACTTGGGTTACAAAAATGCTTGTGTCATGTTAGAATCTAACCCAGTAACCCCAGCGTCAAAAAAAATGCGTAGCAACTGCGCCAACGAGCCATTGAATAATCAGAAAATCATTTTTAATTATTTAATAAAGGAAGGCGATGGTGTAATTCACGAATAACAACGAACAGTGTTAAATTATAATTCTTGTTCAATATCAAAACGTCAGCAGCATGAGCTTACACGATGACGGAAGTTAGAAAATGAACCCCGCGATGTATTATCATTCGACGGCTGGTTAAGCATCCTAATGACGTCCGGCTTAAAACAGCAACTTCCGGTAAGCTTTGCCGACACGATTCTGGACAGGAAGTGCACTTGCGTTCTGTGAGAGCTTTGCTCGCTGTTCCATATCCCTTGAATATTCGGTGTCTTCCGCTGAAACATCAATTTTCAGATTTTTATATCGCACTAGCGACCCGCCCCGGCTGCACACGGGTGCAACTTATTATACATATAAACTCTCCTCTTGAATCATTGCAAAAAAATTGCATCAAGATTCCTTGCGTACTTTTAAAGATCTAAGCATACATAGGGACATAGAATAATGATGTGTATGGATAAACAGATAATATTCAATTAGTTACTAACCAGTAGAAAAATTATAAGTGTGGTTAAAAGAGCTTAGTCACATCCATATTAACAAAGCATTTTAATAATTTTCATATTCAAACAATGCCGATTTCAATGACATCTTATTGTTTGCCTGTATTCAAGTCATGTCTAACGTCACATGGACATCTGAAACAGTCGGTAGGTTGTATATTGTTAAAAATATTTTACATTTCATGGAATTCTGGTTATCGTAGCTACTACAAAAAACACTTTTTCTACGCACCTGGTAATTCCACAGACTAGCCAGCCCATTTGTGTAATAGCAGAGTCTGCTGCGTAGACCTACATTAATATACAACAAAAACTACATTTATCCCAAATGTAGCTTAGTTATTTGTATACGCGTGTATCGTAAATACAACAAATTGTTGGGCACAATGGACAACACTGACAAACTTCAATTAATTTGTGAAATACAAAACGTACCCGGGCGGCGATAAATTTAATTGAGTGGAACAGTTTGTTACCGCAATTGCGTGTCGGGAAATATTTTTATTGTGCTCTATTAGAATTTAACAACGACATACTCGATCCAATATCAGTATTGAGCAGACAAATTGTGTAAATTATCATGTTTCGTAAAACTAATTTGATTCGAAATGTGAATTGTTCGTATCTATTTGTAAAACCAAAGGCTAACTTTTTAAAAAAAAACTTTTTAAGCAATATTTCCTCCCAGCTTGTCCCTTGTATCTTATGAAATTTTTCTGTCTACTACCATACTCTAGTCTTCCAGTGTATAAGGGCGACAGTGGTTAATGCATACTAGGTTAAACTAAAAAGACTAACCGTAGTAGTATTAACAATAGCGGCGTGTTGTTTCTAGTATCCTAAGCTAAAAATCTACAAACAGTAAGTACTGGTGAATCCAAGTAATGAATCAAAATAAGTATTTTGGATGTGCAAAAAATTTAATCGACGACAGTTTAATTACAATTATAATTGTTTAGCTGAAAATTGTAATTTTCAGTAATACACCACCGTATAAAGTGTACAAGGTATATCTCCCTGGACGAGGTCTGGATTCTATTGAAAAGATATCAACCAAGCGTTTCCGCCAGGGACTATTCGTAGACTCTCTAATGATAATTACATTATTTTAACTCGAAACACGCACGGAGAAAAGACGAGTGAGAATTTTGATATAATTAAAATCCTATGGGTGACAAAAATTACGTAATGTGGTTTGTATTGACTTTTGTATTCCCCATAAAGGATTTAAGTAAATAAAAATGTTGTTTGTTTTTTTTTATTCTTTTTCAATTATTAATGTTATTCCCTAAAACTAAAAATAGACAGTGAGGATAAAAATTTATATTAATTACAGACACTGTTGTATGGATAGAAAACTTTTCTAACAAAAAAAAACGCAAATTTATACAACTTTAAAAAACTAAAGACGAGAGAGAAATAGATACTTACTTGATTATATGATCAAGTAAGTATCCATATAAAAACTAATAGGGAACGCCGCATGCGAACACCGCATGTATTTGTTCCCGAGCTAGATAATCGGTGTGAATCATTTAAAATCTAAAATATCCCTAAAAGTACTAAGCGCAATTTGAAATTTTATTCATCCAGCTATAATTAGTTATTCTACTTCAAAGCTAAACTTTACACGAACTCGGTAGATTCAATGAATAATGAATAATGAATATTTATTTAATTTCAACAACAAACACAGTTATGTTAACAATTAAAAGAATATATATCTAAGTCATGAAACCAAACAGTACTAGGTACGATTTCCCGATTTTCAGTACATACCAAAAAATGAAATCATAAATAACAAACTAGACTAAAATAACACAAAGCGGGTACATTAATTTAAGGACAATAACACAATACCTACTGATTATAACACAAATCTGGTACATTATTCTAAAGACAGTAACACAATAACGACTAATGAAAATTAACATTTATAAGTAAAAAGCAGTGAACAGAATGGAATAAGAAATTAAAACTGAATAAAATTGCTTTTACTAGGAACAGCATTCGTGCTATTCCTAGTAAATGTAACCAAAAAAATTGCACTATAAATAATTTAAAAGGCTAAATTCACGTCCAATGGGTATATACCATTCGTACCTACCGAAGGTACTTAATCAGGGTGAGTGGGATGTGCATGAGACGAGACACAACTGAGAACTCATACCACTCATAACCTGATAAAAGACCTCCGATGGGTTCAAACTAGTCGGTTCCCGCACCGAAGGGACGTTTAGCCGTTTTAATTATTTAATAACGTCTAACGAAAGGTTTTACGATTGCTGTTGCTTAAGTAGCCGTAAAAGTGAAAGCCCGTGCAATGAGCGCGTTGTATGTAAATTTGTTGCGCAGGGATATAACGCTGGAGGAGATAAGGCTGCTGTTTTCCAAGTCGAAAGTTCCACTGGCGCAACACGAGTTGTAAATGTGTGCGTTTCGATGACTCCGTGGCGCAGATGCCAAGGTATTGGCTTCGGCGTCGGCGGTCGTGGGTTCGATTCCCACACGGGACAACTATTTGTGCGACCCACATATAGTTGATTCGCATCTGGGTGTTTGTCGTCGTGCAATTTATGTTTGTAAGACGTCCTTACAACACAGGATAATGTTATCCTAAAGTGAGGGTAATGTTTTTAATAAAAGAAAAAAAATATTTGACATGATACGGATACAATTTACTATTTTTCGCCATATAACTGTTTCAAGTTAAAGCAATCGTCTTCGCTATATAAGAAAGAGTTCTAGCTAGACTAACAGGCTCATTCCAGAAGCTACTCCGTAGCCGTACAATTGATATAAAACATGCACTACATTTATCGCAAAAGAACAAACAAGGACAGACAAGTGCACAAATTGGTAGGCACAATGGCTTCTGACAAACTTCAATTAATTTGTTAAAGACAAAACGATGCGAATTTTGTGACTGGGTAGCGATAAATTTTAGATATCCAAAATTTCTTAGGCATTTATAATTCTAACGATTTCTTGAGTTGTATATGTTATTTGTTTTTTTTTATCCTGTTTGGATTACCAATTTTACTTCTTAAAACTACATAATAGAAAGCGCGATATGGGCATAACGTACGAGTATGTTAGTATATTTTCATTTTAATAGATTTCCAACTGACTTCAAAAAAGGAACGTTCTCAATTCGTTTGTATTTTTGTTATGTTTGTTACATCAGAACTCCGTCATTTATGAACCGTGTCCTCTATGCCATTAGAGTGAGCAGTCTCGGCAACTGGTTCACTACTATTTATAAATTCACTTTGCAACAAATACTGCAACGCTGGGTCTGCTTTTTATATCTACATCCTTAATTGGCTACGAAGAGTGAATTGAATTTCATTATTTATTGTATAAATAAATATATATTTCAGACATATTTTTTTTTACACAACATTCGCTAGTCCCAAACTAAGCAACGCTTGTACTATGGGTACTAGAAAACTGATAAACATACTTAAACATACTTTTGTTTGTAAATAAAACTGTGTTTATATATGTATAATATGTATAATATGTATTATATTATACATATATAAACACTCAGACACTGGAAAAACACTATGTTCATTACACAATATTTTTCCGGTAGTGGGGATCGAACCCACACCCTCTGTCACTACTCCCCACGCCAATCGGGTCGTCGAACTTTATTGTGTCGTAACTTTAAGATAATATTGATATAAATGTCTGCGGTCAAGAGTTTTTGTTTGCTTTTCTATACTCGATTGAAATTTGTAAATAATGGCTTAATTTTATTTTTCAAAACTTCAAATAAGCTTTAAAGTGTACTTGGACTTTAACAAATCTGTTAAGCGTTTGTCTGACACCATTGCTTCAGGGTACTATTTGTTGCAGTTTTGCCCGTTACTGAATTTGTCTTGCAGCCAAATACACTCTCGTGAATGTGTTTTGATCGTGCATCGTCGTTAACACTACGTTCGTACCCGCGTTCCGGGGCGGTTTTCACCGCTCCCAGCCACCGATTAGCTAAATGCACAGTCGACGGCCGTCGGGGTCTCGGTCCGAAGCGCGACCTCGACGGCCCTTAGATGACACACCATAATTAAACGCACGCATGAGCACATGCGCGACCCTACCCATAGCGGAGGGTCCAAACCCGTGGGTTCTGGCTAGCCCACCGGTTCTGCGTCCGATGAAGCTTTAATAGTCTCGGGACTGAAAGCAAAAACATCAGTTAATACAAGATACAAGACTACGTTTGTCCTAATCCAATCTAATTATTCTGAGATCACAGTCAATTGTCTTATGTCACAGAGGATTATTTAACTGAACGCCGACAATATTGCCCAATTAGTTTAAGTTTTATAATTGTAAATTGTGTATGCTTTATGGATGTGTTAATAATTGTCGATTGGCATCATTAAGAATATCTATTTAACCACATATCCTTAGTAATCGAGCTAGTTGATTAAACAACGTAATTCTCAAGTCCTATACCTTAAAGGGTAGATAGATATATCGAGCACTGCCTATGTTTCATTTAGGCTTGCTGCAGGTTGCATGGCTGGCACTGTAGACTTGGCAATGAGAATGTCGTTCTACATGGTTCTACACGTTATATCTGTGCACCTACCTGGATATCTCTACACCACCCTAAGGTTGACTGGTAGAAAATGCCTTTGGCATTAAGTCCGCCTTTGTACTAGATTGTGCATAAAGTGTAAATAAATAAATGTCAAAAAGGTTTAGTACCTACCTTATTCTTTTACTTATTATCTTTTTAACGTCAAGCGAATATTGATGTATTTAAGAGCCACACATTCATAATACGAGAACTTAAGAGGTTAATTTTATGTTGATATAGGCCATATAAACATTTCTTCACAGTGGATTTGATTTCATTTTTTTTTGCATTTGAAACTATTTTATAAGTGTACATACATCCTCAATACGTAAGTCGCACCGATTGTCATATCCATTTATTTAAGCTTTATTGGCAAACTTAAATAATTAGTTAACTAATTATTTAAGTATTAGTTAACTAATTATTACTTAAATAGTTAGTTAATTAATTATTACTTAAATAATTAGTTAACTAATTATTTAAGTTTTGCTGGTTCACGGTAACAAGTGCTTAACAAAATGAAGAAACTGCAGAGCGGTATCATACAATATTGTCACATAACCAGAAATTGTTGACAATGTTAGTTCTGCTAACGCAATAAAGGGACAGAAATTAACTTAAGAGTTACCGCAGCGTGCCACTCACACCCTCTCTAATGATAATT